ATTTCTTTTTTGACAAAGAAATTTTATTACTTGCTTGAATAGAATGACTATCAAACTCATCGTAATCTTGTAAATGAAACATTTTTTTTGTTTAATGATTCTTGACATTTATGATCGTCGATCATCATCATCATCATCATCATTATCACATGTTACAGCTGCATCTGTGGTTTTGCTTGAATCTTTTTTTTAAAGATTTATGTATAACAAACTCCGAAGAGGGGCTATTCTTTTCTTCCCGCGAATCAACTTATCATACAACAGTAGAGGACGAAAGTATCTGTACTCTTTAACCTTGGTTTCAGTCTTATACATGTATAGTGGTCATCTGTTTATTGTAGCGTACATATCTATCATAGTTGATTTCGTTTATTTAACGTCTTGTGACGAAAAGTTAAATAAATAAGAGGACATTTTCGTATGTTGTTTCACCTGCTATGTATTTATTCCTAGCATATCTATATTATTCAGTTGATTATCAGATACGATATGCCGATTTATTTTCTATTCGTTTAATTGGATATAAAGAATGTTGAGCAAAAATTACAATTAGCAATGTAAAAATTTCCATATGGTTGTTTGAATAAGGACGTGTACTCGACTACCCTTCGTTGTTAATTAGTCTTGTTGGGATTGGTTTCTGTACTGCTGCTGCTGCTACTACTACTACTAATAATAATAATAAAGTAATTGATGAAGTTTCGTCATGTGGTAAATTTTCTGTTTCTTTTAAGACTTAAAATAAGATCAAAAAGAATAATAATGTTTTCTTAAAGAATTGCAATAAAAATGCGCGTGCATATTGATTTAAAAATCTCAAGTGTTCAATAATAAAAATGAATAGACTTCTTTTCTCTCTCTCTCTCTCTCTTCTTATTTGCTAATCTATGTTAAAACGTTCATTAAAGTAAATGAATAAATATGTAAGAGATTCGTTTCGTCGAAATAAATAATGAACAATTCAATGAATAAGAAATCACTTATTTTTTCTAGAGATAATTATTGATATGATCATACATATCTATACTCAACATTAAATTAAGATGACTAAGCCGTTGAACTAAATGAATGTTTTTATATGTTATCTATCATCACTCGATATCTTGTGTTAAGATCTTATGCAGACAATTATACCACAATTATCGAGAGAATCTGACTAAGTGATATGTCTGTTCATCATGAAAGATACGATATGCTATATCGTACAAATTGCTTATTCTGATGGATTTGAACCTTTAGAAGCAAAGATTTAATTGTAAAGGTTTTTTTTCTTGATAAAAATTCGAAAACAAAAACCAGACAAATATGTAATCATTAGAAAAAAGAATGTCGGGTAAAACTATGTTGTCTTCTATAGTGAATAACATTCCGGACACTAGCTTTCACATTGGCATATATGACTGCAGATATGTAATAAGAGGATTTTTCCCTGTAAAAAATATCACATACATGTGTTTCTCTAAACACATGGTGGCATTTTTTTTTGCAATCATCGTCATCGGAATTCAATAATTTGTTATGCATGAAATAAAATTGTTTGATTGGAATGGACCGGTAAAAATATTTTTATGTAATTCTGTCTGAACCATAGGAACTACAATTGAGGAATAAAAATGATAGATGCAAGTGCTTTTTTTTCATATTTGCATAAATTTTGTCAGTAGAATATTAATCAAGAGAATTCACTACTCATCGATAGAACGCTTTTTAATGAGCCTTGCATAGAGAAAGTAATAGAAAGGATCAATGTCGATAGGCTTTTTCTCATGATTTATTATTGGTTTTTTTTCCATAAAACACTACGACTTTGTTGAAATGACCTTTATAGTAGATTTTCCAAGTTTAAAATTGCTATAAAATAAATTATCAATAAAACTTATTTGTTATTAAAGTGTCAGGCTTTCTAGTGTCTCTTATTATTATTATACATTCATATAGAAATTTCTATGAGGTAATCAGAAGAGTGATCATTTTTGTTCATCTATTCAAAACTTCAGAATAAGACTTCTTTCAAAAATTCATACTTCTAATTCTATGAAATTCTTGTTTGTGTCAATTATTGAAATTGTGAGCTAATTTTAACTATAGCCTTCATATAATCATGGTATTTTATACATAAACTCATCTAAATTGGCATAATTTAACAACAAAGATCTATGATTATAAATCCTCTCAGTCGTTGTCTGATCTCAATAGAGCATATCTAATTAGGCAAGATTTATATGAGGAAAAAAACACCGTTTCATCATTAGACGAATGTATCTAGAAACTGCAGGAAAGAATTAATTCCATAGTTAAGGGCGAAGTATTATTTTCTCATCATGGAATATTCTTTTTAACAAGCTAGTCGGAGACTGAAAAGAAAATAATGAATGACATAAAATAAGTCTTATGTTTGAATAGCACGTCACTATTCATCATAGGAAGCGGTTCACTTCAAATAATACTATTCTAGATGATTTTAGTTCTCGATGAGCTAAAAATGTATCAAGATAAAAACTACTATAATAAAGCATTGACGTTGAAGAGGACTTTTCTCGTTCATGCTATTTGTTAAAAAAAAGCGAGATTTTTTCGGCGATAAAGAATAATCACATGTCGAATGTTTGCTACTGTCAAGAAATTGAAGAATATAAAATTGTACAGAGAAAAAGAAACAGTATTCTTGAAGAAATCATGTTGAAAAATTATTACAACGATAAGAAAAAAAGATTATCTGGTGCAAAGAGAAAATTTTATTTCAAGAAGGAAATACAGTTTTGATCTAATGATAACACAAATGTTAAATATAAATGATGTTCATAATAACATTCTAGTGACAAACTAGTTCATTCGTTTGTATGATAAATAATTCTCAGAAGTAATGTTTTCTCACGAGATGAAGAACAAATGATATCAATACACTCTTTAACCTTTTCTTCTACACCCATATGTAACCAATCAAAGCCCTATAGGATTCATTGCACACGAGTAAAGAATATGAAGGATAACTTGTGAGGGTTCTCTTGATAGAAAAAGAAACTTATGGCTTCTTATCGCTAAAAAAAAAGAGTAATGGACATCGATCATGTGTATTTTATCGGATGCTTTTATCAATAACATGAGTATACTTTTCATTTTGTTAGTATTGCCTAGCCATTAAAAGTGACATATTCGTCTATCTTTATTATTTTACTATACATTAGAGTTTACTTTTAACGATGTATTTTTGATCTAAATGAATGCAATTTATTTTGACTGCCTGAATCTCAAGATGATTCATAGACGAGCATTGCTTGTTTGAAAACCAATGAGTTATGAGTATTGACTAGTGTATGGAACACTTACTACTATACTGGTAAATTTGTAATGTTATATATGACAAGAAATCAACGATGCATTATAATGGGTTATGAATGTTACCGCTATTTGAGTTCCACAGATTAATTAGTGTCATTTTTATCGTTAACTAACTCACAGAAATGCACAATTTTAGTCGAATAACATATTTAGAATATTGACAGTGACATTAAACAATTTGTTTAGACCTGCAGAATGTTATTATTGATTCATCTGATCATTAGAAAGAGAAAAAGGCCTCCTCATTATAAGAATAGGTCATTTCTGACATTTTTGATTTGTATACTTTTGTGCAGCAAGTTAAAATGATTGTTTGAAGTTTGGAATTGTATTCTAACTGAATGATAACGATAGTAACTACTGTTGTATTCGTTTCACTTCTGAAAAAAGTTCACATGATAAACATGTAGCCAGTGTAAACTTTGGAATCACTTGAATGACCTACGATATGTTTATTTGTTCTTATGATATAAACAGTAATAAATTGCTAAACTAATTTTTATCGGTGCAATTTTAGTAAACTCGAATTGATGATAGCCCATTATAGAACATATATTAAATTCTCATTTTGAGAGAGTTGTTATATTATGATTAGTTCCGTTTTTTTTGCCTGTTTATGGCAATCTTTTGAAAATTAAGACAATTGAGTAGATAAGAGAATGAACTTTTTGTGGTATGATGCATAAAAATGCGTGCATGATAATTTACGTATTTCATCTGAAATACACAAATGAACTTGATTATACAATCATATTTTACAATAGTGGATGAGGTTCGATTGTTTTATTCTGTAAAATAATAAATCATAAACAATCAATAACAATAGTGGGACATCTATATCTTTTTATGAAAGCTAAAATAGTTTCAGTAGTTCATTGTAGATTTTTCTATTGAGTTTTAGTTTTAATATGACACGTGCATTAATATTCTAGTTATTACTTGTCAATTTAGAGCAAACCATTATAATAAATCGAGGTCAAATCTTAAAATAAACAATGTCTTTATGATAACATGGAAAATGTTCCTAAGATCTAGGTGTCACAAATGAACTTTTTTCTAAATTAAATTCGCTGGTTTGCGTGTCTGCTCATGCGAAGTTAGATTTAATAAATAACTAAGACAAATTATAAATGACACATTTCATTTTTGTCATTTTATTTAAATAATCATCAGTAGCACGTTTTATCTCAGCATTTATTACAAAAAGAGACGTGAGGAAATTCATCTTTCTTGTAATCTAACGGCTTAAAACAAAAGAACTCCTCATTATCCCATCATGTCATGTTTCTATGAAGGAATTACTTTCGAAAATTTCATATTATATTGACGTTCATTTTCTTTTTCAGTCATCTGATCTGCCATAGGCATGTGCCGCATTTTGATAGCATGCAATAAGTTATCATTTAAATCCGTCAATTCTATTCACATGAGTTTCGTTTTTGTTACGCACAAAATCGACAAAAAAAAGAAGAAGAACCGGTCAACATCGAAAAAAAAACGAACGCGACAAGACTGAAAAAAAAAGAGACAAAATTCAAATATCTATTTGTATAAGTGTGTTCGTCTAAAAGAATGTAAAGACAAATAAACATAATTATGAATTTATCGACTTGAAAAAATATAAACGTTTATTATTAAAAGATAGAATAGGAAACAAACGACTAGGTCGTGCTCGATATAGCATGAAAAGAATTCGTTTGTAGACTACTTTCGGCATTATTCGATGTTGATAAATCTGATAATGAAATATGGTTTAGAATTTCAATTTGTTTTTCAGTCGTTGAAATATTTTCTTCGAGATCTTTTGCATCCAATGATAATGTTGATTTCATTCGTATAAAATGTTCATAATCATCGTATTGTTCATTAGAAAAATATTTTCGAAGAATATTTGTTACTGTACGACTACGACGATCAATGCCATCTTTCAAAGATTTTGCTTCATCATGTTTTTGTTGAGCTTTTTCACGTCGTTCGATTAGAGATGCCTTCAACAGAAAAATAAATGAAATTTATATTTTAAGGATTCGAATCCAGTTTTTTTAAACAAAATTTAATCCGTCTGTGTACGTGAACAATGAAAATTTTTGTTATCTGTTGGCTAAAGCTTGATGCAGTGTTCGTTCAAACAGATATAAATCAGAACTATTAAGACTTACCTTTGTATGTTCATTACTACTGGAAATCATTAATAGATCATTTTCAACTCTAGCTAATCGAGTACTAAGTTTGAGAAGTATTGATGTTATTGTATCGATTTCGTCAATGTGTAATTTAAATTTTTCGATTTCGCTTGATTCAGCATTAGATTCGATAATATTTAATAGCTAAAAAATGAAAAAATGAATTAGTTAATTATGTTTTGTTTTTCGTTTGAACTTAGTTTTATACCTTAATACCCAGGTTTTTATTATCTTCGATTTCTTCGTTGATTGTTCGTTGATTTTCTTTTAAAATTTGTCGACGCTTCTTCAAGTTTGTTAATAAATCATCCTAAAAACAAAATAATAATAATCTAGCAAGAAATAAAAGTCTTAATTTTACCACTTGTCGACAGGTATCATCATCAAAAATACAACTATCATTCGATACTGTTCGATGAATATAATCCGATGATGAATTACTTGAAGTTGTTATTGAACTTGTATCACCACCTGAACTTTGTCGTGAACGTATACGTCTCAAACGATCTGGAATGGGAAATAATCCACGAGTAAAATCCGTACTGAGATGTTGTTTATTGGATAACATTAAACGTTGTAATTCACTCAATGAATTATTATGTGAATAACGTAAAGCAAATTCTTTTAAATTAAATTGCAAATCATTTTCGTCACGTGGTTGAAAACGCCGAAAAGAATTCGAAGATTTATTGGGCAACTTTTGATAGGAGTTTACTGGTGAAGCAGAAAAAAGACCGGGTTTAGCAAGTGAATAAGTTTTCGGTGTTGCTAACGGACGATTGGTTGAGAACAGTTCATTGATCGGCGATGGACATTGTTGTGCTGTTTTAACAAGGCGAACTGGCTTTCGAATAGTTGGTGGTGGAGGAAATGATGTGGGATTGGATACTGCATCAAAATATTGTTCAGACGAAGGGGGCGATGGTGTGGGTGGTAATTGTCTGAACGATAAATCATTCCATGAACGTCTAAAAATATACATTTATTAAACAAAACATTTGATATATATGTATCATAATTTTTGTGCATGAACTTTGTGATTAGTTATTATTCTTTTTTTCGATTAATTTTTTGTCTTAGTAAAAAAATTCCTATTTAACTACTTTATACTCAAGCGATATCTATTAAAAGCGAAGGATTCTCTAACGAAAATGTTTGATCTACTGATTCAAGTACCTGTTCATATGTTTGACTTATTCTACTATATCTTTCAATATGAATAATGTAGAGACAAGAAGTAAATATCCTTGATAAGGGTAAGAATGCTTCATTCATTTCTCATATGAATCTGAAGACTGTATGTCGAGTAAAGGTCAATGAAATATGTCGCGCCCTATGTTGCATCGTTTTCTTTTTGTATTAATAAAATAATTTCCTGTTGAATGTCGCTTAACGTCTGAGCAGACTCTGCCTTTTCCCACCTGTCATCTTCATCATCATTATCATTATCATCATCATCGATGTCTTTTGATACAAATGGCTCTTACGACGTATTTTTTATTAATCTATTTGCAAACAATGAAAATGTCGACAGTGTGTACAGTAATCTATCCTTGTCCTTTTTTTGCGTTGCAATAAAAGATAGATCTAAAGAAATCATATTTACCTTGTTATATTACGTTGAGCATTATTATTTATTGTTGCGTGTTGTAGAAAACTAGTGTTATTAATTTGTGAACTTGAAGGCGATAGAGTATAAATTTTAGGCTTAGTTGGCAATATATTTGCTGGAATTGATGTTAAAGAAGAATTTGTTGATATATTATCCGTATAGATTCGATTTTCAAAAAATTCTCGTTTTGATTGAAAATCATTTTCGGAATTTTCTCGTTGTTTTTGTTGTTGTTGTGATGTACTACTAGATGATGTTCTAGTTTGTTGACTAGCTGATTTTGGTCTCACGATAGTTTCATTTGTTAGTGGAAATTCTGTTATCGTTAAATTTGTATTTGGACGTAGATGACAATTATGTAGCGCATCTTTTGATATTGATCGGGTTAAATAAGAAAACATATCGTTATTTCCATTCATTGGAATTGAACGAGATTTTTCACGTAAACGTTCCGTATATGATGCTTGTGTATCTTCTAATGACGTGTGACTCGCTAAATAGAAAATACAGAGATATTTTATGTATGTAAATAAAAATAAAATCTACTCATGTTAAGTTTAAATCGTAAGAATACAGAATAGGACTCAATAGGACAATCTGACACCTTTATTAAATCTATTCGTCTTATTCTATGCATTTTGAAATAAAAGAAAAGAACAAGAAAAGGAGAGCCGATTTTGTTGGTTAAAGAAAGAAAAAGAGATAAACGTTTTTCTCTTGAATTTTTTCTTCTTCGTCTCCGTCTTTTTTAAACATACGTATATGCATTGTTGTTGATCTATATATTCGATAGCATATTGAATGTTTGCGATATTGATTAGTATAATATTCGTCACGAGTTAGAACATGATATAAAACAGTTCGATTTACATGCATCATACTTGTGGTGTATAGGAAAAAGAAAAATGAAAAGAAAATAATCGAAAACGATCAAGAGGAATAATTTTTTTCTCCTCTCAAGGGTATATTTATTGCAAAAAACAATTAATATAATGATGATGATGATAATTATGTGTTGAGAAATCATAACAAAAATATAGATTTTTCTTTTTTAATGTTTTTTTTTTTTGTTATATGAAGAGAAAAATAAAAATATATTCAAGGCCAGTAAAACATACCATTTCTTAGACAACCATTAGTAAATGTATGTTGTTCAGAGTAAGATCCAATTTCTTCATTCGTTGATAATATATCAATGTGATTGACATTTATTGAATCATTGTGAGAACTTGAACTATAAATAAAGATTCATACATTTATGTACTCTATAGAAAACGTATAAGGTTTCTGATCAATTCTTTTCTTCTTTATAAAATAGAATTCAATATTTGCTGAAGTAATAAAAATGACTTTTTACCTAATCATATTATTTGGTATAGGTATTGATTCCGATTGTTTAGGCTAAAGCATTTAAAGAATAGAATAAAATCGATTTGATTCTAATAATTTTTCGATTGACTCACTCGTTCAGTTATAGTACTACTACTATTTGTTATTGTTAATTCAGAATCTTTATCTAATATCGATGGTGAAGGTGGTGGAGGCCAAAAAGCTTGAACAGAATCTGATAGTATAACTGGTTTCGTTGTTGCCGTGGCGACGATGGCTGAATCATGGTTTATTTCTGATGATGATTTCATTTTCCAATCAATTAGTGCTGATTGTATAACTCGTTTTTGACGTGTTTTATTATTATTATTTGCAACTGAATAAGTTAAATGAGATACTGTGTCATCGTCACAATTAGGAGGATTTTGACTTGATTGTTGATATTCATTATCATGCGTTTGAGATTGAGATTCAAATGATCGATATGATGAAGATGAATTCGTACTAACACTATTGATACTAACATTTGATATTGTACGATTCGTTGTTAACATTATTTTTGGATTTGTTTTCGAAGACGACAATGAGGATGACGAGGATGTTGAAGACGGTGATGATGATGATGATGACGATAAAATATTTGTGTTATTAACTGGCGGATAAAGATAGTAGTGATATTGTGGTGGTGTAGAAATGATAAGTGTCGATGTTTGAATCACAGTAGATTCATCTCCATTACCTGATGATTTTGATGGCGAAAGAAAGAATGGTTCTTTACTTGTTTTTTGATGATCATGTAGAACATAGTCACATTTGGGGTCAGTTACCGGTCGAAAGAGCAGACCATTATTTAACGAATCACCTTCATCAGGTTTAATAATGGTTGTTGTAGTCGATTTGGTTGACATTGATAATGAAGTGTTATTAATACTAGTATTTGTACACGGTGGTATTGATGAATCTAAATGAGAATATTATGAGAAAAAAGAAAAAAAGTCATGAAATAACCTTGGAATACACTCCACCCACTTTCTCACTCTCTTTCTTTTACGAACATGTCATCATAGTAAAGTCTAATGATGACATTCGTTCATATGCTTACCGATGCTAGAAGAACTAGTACCATTGATGTTCTTGTCGATTGATGTTGAAACAAGAGAAATCAGTGATTGTCGTTCGTTATTGTTATTTGCTGTAACCTTGTCAAATTTATGAATATCTTCTTTTGATATTTCGCAATGATTGCTGTTGATCGAAGATACAGGAAGAAGAGATTCAACATCCGTACTAAGGCGCTTATTTCCGTTTGTCCTTGTTGTTAATGTTGTCTGCTGTTTAGCCTTTCGTTGGGCACGTAGTTGAGTGGACGATGCACGTCGCAATTGTTTGTTTTCTTCGGTCGATTTTGATGACTTGTTATTACTGCTGTTGGATCGACCAATAAAATTAAGAAAACCATTACTTAGCAGTTTTTTAGCTTTTGTTGTTGTTGTTGTTGTTGTTGCTGCTGAAGGTGATGATGATGATGATGATGACGATGATGGCAATGGTGATTGTTGTGGATTAATAATTGTATTGAGTGAAGATGTTTTTACAAGTAAACTATTTAATGGCATAGGTTTATCAAATGATGATGTTTGCCGATTTAATAAATCTTATTTAAAAAGAAAAAAGAAAAAAGAAATCAACTCAATGGCTGATTGAAAAAAAAACGAATAAGAAAGAAGAGGTCATTCATACTTGCATTGAAATTGTTTGTGCCATTCGATTCTTTTTTTTGCGAGACGTTGTTGCTACCGTCATTGAAAGTGACTGTAGCAGCGGTAATAGTGCAATGAAGGTGAGCAGCAGTTGTTACTCGTTGAGAAGTAGTGCAGTATGGTTCGTCGACATTTTCTTTTTCTTCTTCCCTGCAGGGTCGGCTATCGCTACTCTCTCGTTTCGATAGCGGTGATGGAGAAAGAGAAAAAGAACGAACATTTGTAGTTGTGGTGGTCAGCGGGTTAGTAGTGATTGTCCTGCTCGTTGTTTCAATTCTCTCTTTTTCTCTCAATGCCCCGACATCACGTTGATCATCATATCGTTTCTTTTGTTCGTCATTGTCGACGCTATTACCATTACCATGGGACAATGCAGATGAAGACGCAATTGTAACCGTCTGTTCGTAATTACTAATACAATCTGTATCGACCGGTATTGGTGATCGTGACCGTAAAATCTCCTTAGGCAAATGCCAGTCAAAATGAACAGACTTTTTTATACGATTATTATTATTTGTATTTGTATTTGTCGGTGATTTTAAACAACCATTACTACAAACCATTGTCCTATATATACATATACTTATATCTCTATAGAAGTAATTCGATCGAATGAAAAAATAACATAGAAAAAAAAAGAAAGAAAACGAACTGACAATCACTTGTCATATAGTTTTTTGATTGGTATTTTATGCGAGAGAAAAAGTAAACATAGACACACTGATGTGAAATTCACTTACGATTCTTTTTGATCTTGGTGCTCTGGTGGCTTTAATCCATCGCCATTGTTTGTCGTGATTGTGACGTTTGTTGTTGGAGATATTTGAGATGAGGTGATGATAGCCTTTGCTGAACGCGTTTGATTATGATAGCGATTAGGTGACATTGACATAGTCATTATACGACATGTCGTTATTGTTGCTGTAGGACCAATGTTGTTTCGTGATGTATCAGCAGTTAATGTTTGCGAAGTAAACTCTGGATATTGATTTAGCGATGACCCTTTGGTAGATGACAATGACTGTTCATGACCTTTTGGATAAGTGAAAGAAGTTATAGACGCAGAAGGAGAAATTGGAGACGATGAAGAAACGGTATTTGCTGGTGGCAAGGATTTGTAATCGATACGTGTTGAATGTTTTTGTTGATATTCACTTAATAATGGACGTTTTGTTGGTGACTGAATTCGTTCAATATTGTTGAAACTTGTTCGACGTGATGTACGAGAAGGAATAATTGAAGATATAGATGTTAGTGTATTAGTTGTTGTTGTTGTTGTTACTGATGATGCAGCCGATGTGTCACTTGCAAAATCATTACTGTCCATTGGAGATAATGCGCGTGGTGCGATTTGTGTTATTGTATCAACTGATAAGGGTGAAATCGAAGATGAAGATTCATGCCGTTTATTTGAAAAATTATCATTATTTTGATGATTCTATTAAAATAAGCAATATTATATTTATAGAATAAAAAAACATTTTTTAAGTAGTTTAAATGATTTATGAATAAGTTTTTAATTGAAGAAAAACGCATTATGCTTAAGGCTGTGGAAATTATATGTCATAACAAAATTTATGTTAATAGCAGAAATATAAAAATAATGTTGATATAATATTTGCATAAGAAGAGTAAACAACGAGATTATTCGTTATGAGCAAAAACTACTACGTGTATTTATTTTTCGATTATGAATTTAAGCAAAGATAGTTAGATGCAGCAAAAGAAAACAGCAAGAAATTATGCATACGTGTTAAATCATTTTGTTATTTGATGACTTACCAAGGATGAATTTGGAAGTTTCTTTTGTGGAGCATCAAGTAAAGGACGGTCATATCGTTCATTAAGTGAAAGAGGTCTTCCAAAAAGAAACTGTTGATAACGTGGTTGTTGTTGTTGTTGCGGTTGAAAATATCTTGTTACTTTAGGTCGCATGCGTACTCGAGTAGCATTCCTATTTGATGTTGTCGTCGCTGTTGTTGTTGTTGTTGTTGTTGTTGTCTGTTCATTATCTGAACGTCTGCCTGTCGGTGGTAATCCATGTTCTTGTTGTGCAGTTGGGCCCCAACTGGCTCGTTTAAGTAGCCGTTTCTCTTCAATGAATTCATTATTGCCGATTGCTTTAACAATTTCAGTATAAATATATTCTGAAGGTGCTGATGGCTTATCCTTTGAACTTGGCATGTTTTCTTGTCGTAGAGTATGACATTGAAGTGATGAACGACGCTCTGAAGATGGCACCGATGATATCGAAGATGTTTTTTTCTCCTTCTCATCAATTACCACTTCGGTATTATCACATTTGGTTTCCAAAACTCGCATTCTTTTATTGTTCAATGTTTAGAAAAACCAAATGATAATAACCTATAAAAACAAAATAATATGTTGAATTTTTCTTTTCTTTTTTAGTTTTATTTCTTTCATCTGCTATTTGTCTTTCGGTCTGTTGAACCAAAAAGGACACGAATATCAGAAATCATTCACACATATATATATATATAGATAGATAGATATACGTGCAATTAGCTAGAAGCTACCGGTATGTTGACAAATAACAATTCGACAGACAACAGCAAGAAAGTCAACGACTAATGTGGCAATAGCATACGAAGGATAAAAACAAAAAAAAAAGGAAGGCGTTATAAGCTAATAAAATAAAATGTGTCTACCTGATAAATAGTAGAAGATAATAAGATTAACAAAAGAGAAGAAAAGATTTTCAAATGAAATATCTTTTATATTTGTTATTGAATAAAGTGTTGCATAGAAGAAAAGACAATTCATATTGTCTTTTGTTGATAATAAATAATAATAGTAATAGGATAGAGGAGTGAGATATTGATCTCAATTAATAATATAAAGTAGTATAAGGATAAGGTTTTTTGTAGACGTCGTCTACATAGAATGAATATGATAAACATTTGTCTCTTTTTATCTGTTATTTTTTTTTGCTTTTTTCCCATTTAGCTCCATACATATTCATCTTCATTATCCTGATGATCGTCGTCTATATTGCGACGACAACGATGACACTAGTGACGGCGGTTGATATCATCCTCACGCTGTTATTCTAGCTCCATGTAACATTATCAAAATACGCACTCGGTGGCGGACAAAGCTGCAACCCAAAAAAAAAGAAAAATTATATGAAAACTATCTACACAGAAATATTTGTTTGTCTCGAATGTGTTTTATTTAATCATTGTTGATCTTAATTCAGTCAATTATAATTAATCTATTATCGTTTTATTGATGTTTAGTCCGAGATGAATGAAGCATTAGTAGTATCTTTCTTTTTCCAATGTTCAATAGAATGCATTTAGACGCCTTATCATTTATAGTATTATCTATGCTCATTTACAAGCAGACACCTATTACGTATTATGAATAGATTAAATGCATGATGGAAGAAATAGTAAACGCAACTGTCTACCTGTCTGTCTAAGCTCTCTATCTCTCTCTTTGTACATCTTGAAAAGTAGTCTTTCTGATTGGAATAAAAATCTAAAGTATCTTCTTTTGCATGAAATTACTTTTCGCTTTGTTTTCTTCTTCATTTATACCAAGTCAAATTAGACATTAGCGAAGGTCATATAGGAACATCCTATGCTTCGTATGCTTATATGTAATAATAGAGATAGAAAAAAAAAAAGAAATTCATTAAAGACAAATATCTGTCAAATACATACTGATTATTGCCGATCTGTAAATTAACTAGGTCATTAGTTCGATTTTCTTCAAAACAATATTCCATTGCAACTAGTTATAGTATCAGCAACAGCTACCCAGTTTGTTATAAGTAAAGCAAGAAAAAAAAATAAGTAGCACAGAAAGAGAGAGTCATACATATCATACATATACAGAAAGAATGACACTCACACATACATGACATAATGTCCAACAAAGAGAAAAAGAAAAGAACTAAATAAAAATAGACATACAAGCGAAGAACCCACTTTACCTGTTTGTTTAATACAATAAGCAACAAGAAATTGTCGTCGTTATTATTTGTCTCACTATTATGATCAAGAGGAGAGCGAAAGCTTAAATTGAGCAACAGCAGTAACACAACAACAAAAGAGGAAACAATTATTACATAAGAAATTCTGCTGATGTGGCTGCTTGCCTTTTTCTACTCGAACGATTCTCATCTAGTAAGTATATTGAGATCGATATAACTGGCAAACGGGTCGCTCAATTTTCATCGCCATACTTCTACTTCTCTATAATACATAAGTACTCATATATGTATATATACACATTCATGCACAAAAAAAACATCTGATCGTCATCTAAGCCGAATGGGACAAGTCATGTAGGAATATATGTAGAAAGTAGGATGACGAAGATTTAAACCACATTCAAATAAAAGATGATGAGACAACATAGCAATAACTGTTCCTAGTAGTTTTACTTATATAACATGTTTGTACGAAGGTGATAGTCAACACTTTCATACTTACTATTCGTTGTCAAGGGTGTTAATTATACATATATCATTGTCTTAATATATAAATATTTTTTTCAATGGATAGTGAGGAACTAAAGAGGCATATGCCATCCGTCTAAGTCGATACCTATGACATCCAATGACAAATGATAACGGACAATGTCTGCAATTTCGTCACAGGTAGTCAGTATTACTTGTGTTTTTTTCTTTTACTTTTCTTATTGATTGCTTTTTTCCTAGTGCGAAATAGATATTTTATTATATTGCTTATAGTTGATTACAGGAGAGCGCTGAAGGATGAACTACACATTCGACAAGTAAATACTAACGTGTACACACATATTAACGTATGTGTAGATGCCCGTACATATACATTTTATGTATGGTAAGTACGAGGTGGTATGAATCAATTTAAAATACATCGGTATATGCAGAAGATATACCTGATTGATTAATGCATCGTGCTTTGAGCATTGAAAAACGATGCGTAATAATACTGATATATATTAGTAAGGTTTCATTAGAGAAACATCACCATTAATCGTTTTTTTTGCTTCACATCTTTTTTTATCACTATCCGATTCGTCGATCCACAAGTACATGAACGCATGCAAGACGACATTGGAGGTCAAATTATGAAATGGTTATTCAGCAGCTTGGAAAAAGAGATGATAAAACGTTTGATTTAATCGTTATCGAGAGACAGTATTCAAATAAATCTGAACCTTGAACTGCCAAAACACCAGAAAAGAATTAAAATCTATGATGGTATATATATATATATATATATCTCAACATTATCATCACTCCGGTTTTTATTTCCAGTTGACAGCCGCATAAATCGTTTAGAATATACTCAAGGTTCCATTTAATTATGAATATTGCTAGTCGTAATTATCGTGATCGAAAAAAAAGAGAAAACGGAAAAATAGAACAGTAATCATTCATCAATATTACTTAATAACATTGAAAATTGGGATAAGAAAAAAGTAAAACAACCGTGAATCCAAGGTTAATAAGACGTTTAATAATGCTCATTACAAATTGAGCTTAGCTTTGATAATTTCTTTTTTTCTTAATTTAAAAAATTTCAAAGTAAACCAATATGACTTGTGAATAAAAATAAATTTTGATTACTACGAAACGGATTTAATTAATTTTTTGTTTTTCATAGCGTGAAAAAGGTCTTTATTATCTTTTAAATTAATCTATATGATAGCTATGATCGATTAGATTTCTAGACGAATCTGATTGATTAAAAAAGCCTACTTAATTTGTTTCAAAGATATATTCTAATTATAGAAAAAAACAACATTCGATAGAATTTTTTTTTATCTGCGTCTATTGACTCGATCTAGCATAAATCAAATGTTATTCAATATTTAAATGCTTGTATGTTGTTTTTCGAAATTATAAATTTCCTAGTAATTTGTTTTTTTTGCAAATTAAACAGTGTGATATTGATAGTCTCAACTTTGTTAATGAGTTCTGTTTTTGATGATATATTAACAATACTTTTGTTTGTGTTTTACGTCAATGTTATTCTAAGCATTACAGAAGAAAAGTATTACGAAATAGTGTAGAATATGTTTATAAATTCTGCCTAATGTAACATCGTGAAGGATAAAGTCAAATGCTAATATAAAAACACAACCCGATTAAAATTCATTTCATTTTGTATTCGATTTCTATTAAGATTGATTTATGATTTCTATGCAAAAAACGATGTAAAATCTTCTATATCAAAAATCGTATCGAATAAAAGTTCAAGTAAATAATAGAATACAAAAGAAACAAGAAGTAATCTAAATAACAGTGAAAAGAGATATTTCAAGGATTAGAGGTCAAACAAAAGAAAAGATCAATCAAGTCGGATTTGGATTTGATAAAAACGTGCAAAAACAACCAAATACGTACATAGTAGAAAAACATCATTCTGATCGAAGTTGCGATAATGTTCTTTTGATTCTCATATGCTAGATATGATTAAATGGTAAAATGACATAGATAAAAATGAAGATGACATAATCGTTTCATATTTTTTCTCTCTATGACTTGGGCTTTTTAGTATACAAATTATTATCATCGTTTATAGTCTCTTGATTTTAGTTAAGAGGATGTTAAGATTCAACCGACTCAATGATTATGATGATAAGTTAATCTTATGAATGGTAAACAATCAAAATTGCTAGGGAGAAAAATGCCAGATTTGTATAAATGGTAACGTTTACCACATAGTATAACACGAGGATAAAAATGTTGCTCTACTGAACAGCAGTAGCATCACAGTATTCATTGATGATTCTTCGAACGAGAGAGTTGAATGAAGCGGAATAGAATAATAGATAAATGTGTTTACATGACGCTGTACACAATCATCTTTTGAATATCAAAAGTCCAGATTCAATGGGAAGAAATTAAAGCTTAGAAAAAGAATGAACAATCTTAATTTTTTCTGCAGCATGAATAATATATATTGATTTAGTCTAAATTTGGTAGTGTGATGAAATACATAAGTGGCACATTCTACAGGATATGATTGATTAAAAAAAGTACTATGAATTGATCGAATTTTGCATAGTAAATTATATAGACTCTGTAGATCATATAATATATTTGACGTCCGAATCCGAATAGGAAATATTTTAGACTAACTATAAGTACCCAATTGGTGTTTGCTGGAATCCTTTGATAGATGGTGCCTTAAATGAGCAAATTGATAACGCTTCGGGAAATCAGATAGTGTATTAGAGGAAGGAATGCCCGATTACATGAATGTTGATCACCTATTGAAGAAGAACGCGCAAAAACAGTATGTTTTACAAGTATGTCAGCTTATTGTAGCATGATTCTTCAACAGAGAACAGGTCATTGATCAAAGGCTAAAAGCAAAGAGAATAGGTACAAAATTAATTAATACAAATTTTTCAAATTAAATATTTTATTACGAGGAAAAATAATATACGATCATCATGTTATGGTTAATCAACAATATTAAATCAACATTCTATGACACGTACGTGTTATAAACATCACATAATCATAACTCCCGAAGTTTTAGTTTGACATATAGTATAAGATGAAAAAAACGTCGTAGAAGTAACGCTTACGGCCATACCACGTTGAATACACCAGTTCTCGTCCGATCACTGAAGTTAAGCAACGTCGGGCTCGGTTAGTACTTGGATGGGTGACCGCCTGGGAATACCGAGTGTCGTAAGCTTTTTATTTATTTCTTTTATCAACTTTATTTATCAACCAAACATACTTATCTTGATACTTATCATTATGAAAACAAAGCTGTAAAACTTATTTTTGGTTTCTAATCTTCTTTCAGCTAAATAAATCGTATGTAAATAGTAACTTGTAAAATGCCAGATACTAACAATCTGTTTATAAATCGAAACGCGAAAAAAAAGAAGTGATTGTATTTTTAAAAACTCTCCGCCAAAAAAAGCAGTTAACAAGGTCAAGAATGAAAAGTGAGTCTTATCTCAAATATGCCTCAAACGCACTTTTCTGTTTCTATGAAGACACTGAATTGATTTTGATTCTCTTTACAGATGCCTTCTGTGTACAAAATGGAGTCAACCAGCAATTTCTAGTTGTCATATTTCTAGTCGTGCGTAATTTTTAATGACAGCAAAATTACTATGAGAACAATAGCATGGATAAATTTACAGTAATAGATCATTACAATGACAGCAAGTATAAGTGCAAGTTTAAATAATAATTCTCTAATTGTAGAATGAAATTCAATTGGCTGTAGAATACATATATATAGATATACTTGCATTGAAAATGTTTGCAATTATTTCTACAATGAGATGACATTAGAAATCCTATGCAAACTTCTGTAAAAAAAATTAGTAGTCATACACAATGAAAGTAAATTTTTATCATTAACTGTCTACCACTGACTCAAAGGATATTGCATATCTAGGACTGATTAACACATATTTTTGAATTTTAATGATGTCTACTGCTTGTTCTTTATTATAGATTTCATCGATTGCTCGGTTATTTAGTTTACTATCTACAGATCTTTGATAAACAACTGAGAAGAAAGAAATGCAAATAAAATTATCTGAAAGCTAAAAAATTTGCATCTATATAGATTTCGCGGAAGTCAGCAAGTGCATACAGTAGGTCTTTTTTTGCTTTCTTCAATTATTTCTTTTTCTTCTTCTTCTTCTTCGTCTTCTCATAAACAAATACAAACGATGTTTATTGAAAGTAAAATGAGAAATTTCATACAATATGTGGGTGGAAAGTTGCGCACTACCTGCGTCATGAAATTGCTGTTTGCCAATTGTAGTAAATTACCCACCTATTACATGTATAATTGAGATCCTTCAGCTGATTATTTACTATTACTTTCATAATATTGAGTTCTTAGCCAGTAATAAATATGTCGTAATAAATTTATCATTATTTTTTTTCAGATTTAAATCTGACAAGGAAGGATAAGAAATGTTCCACATAAGAAATGTTACCTGATTCTATATGTTAAATATGTATGAAGGATATTTTCTTTATTCACGCAAAAGTTGAAGTGGAAAACATTAATTTTTAGAACCAATCGAACAAATACGTATGTCTTTTTTTGCAGATTTTCGATGAATGATGTCTTAATTTAATTTTCGATTTAACATTTGAAGATCTATGTCTATATGCACTTGTTGCAAATTGTAACTTTGAATGCAACATTCCATGTTATAACTTTGACACCCTCATCTTTTTATTCTTTTTATTTTTCTCGTCCTTCTTTTCTTCTATATAGCTCGTTCTTAAGAAATGGCAACTATTTCAGCAATTTGTTATTGAATATCATATTTTTCTTCTTCTTTTAAACCATGTGGTGATAGAGAATGTTGTTCGATTTTTCGTGAAATAAAACAAAAAAAAAAGAGAAATGGACGTGGAAAGAAAAAAAAACATAGACGACATTTTATATTTATTAATAGCAACCCTACATTGGTATTATTATATTCATCATAAAAAAGAAACAGTTGATCTCAATCTTTTAATACGGTAGTAATATTTCATAAAAATATTTTTCATCGTCACTATTTTATTTTTGTGTCTTACAAGGGATAAATAAAAGTATTGGTTTAACGACTTGAAATATCAAATGTCAAAGAAAAGAGTACTCGAAAAATGATGGGTGACAGATTGTGCACACATCTATAGCGTAGCGTTTTTAGAAGAAACGATAAGGAGAAAGCGCGAGAGAAAGAAAAACGATTAAGCTTTTATCAAACTGTAATATCATAATTTCAGATCAAAATCCGCATTACTTATTTTTATACGTTTACAACAACGTATACCGAATTCGATCATTTCTTGCCGTTCCATTAGTGATTATATGTCTGATTCTTCTGACAGCGACGAAAATAATACCATCACTAACAACAACAACAACAACAACAACAACAGCAATAAGAACAGGTACTCATTTTTCTATATATAATGATAAAGGTGTATTGATTTTGTTATCGAAATTATTCGGTTGGAGAAATTATACTCGTCTATAAATAGATTTCTTTGAGAATTCTTTTTGGTAGTACAGGTTCGGGATTTGTTTTCTTTCAATATAGACTAGACTGTAGTCTTATTTGTTTTTTGTCTACTATTATTTTAAGTGACATAAAAATATCTCAATCACCAAATTATCCATATGGCGAGATCGAGGCGCTTTTGAAGCGCGAAGGACTCGACCAACGATTTCAATTAAGTTATACGAACGAGAGGAAAATTGGTTCCACATGTCAAGTTTATTACGCGCATGATTTGTCACAAAAAGATCAACGTCTTGTTGCTCTCAAACTTATACGAACTCAATATATCGATAGTTATGTTTCAAATGATGATCTATTGAATTTACAGCAGACAAAAGATTGTTTTTATAAGCCTCAAAATGTTATTTACAATCGTCATTTGAAATATTTCGATGGTTACATTCCTATAGAGCAATATATCGGTGAACTTGGGCGTTTCTGTCCACATTTACCTATATCGCGTTGTATTGAAAATGGTGCAAAACGTCTTGAAACATGTGATGCTTATTTAATTGCATTTGAATATATTCACGGACGAACGGTTTGGGAAAATTTAGTTCGTACAGATTTTGCCTATTTAAATGAAGATGAAGCACGTACACTGGTACGTTTGTTTATCGAGCAACTTTTAATATTATTGAAACATCACATTATTAACTGTGATTTAAATGGTTGTCAAAATTATTATTATAAACTGTATGATGATGTAAGTACAGCAAAATCAAGATATACGCAATGGATTCCAATTGAAGATGGTGAGGATGGCTATTCGAGTATGAGTGCAGATAGTAGTCAATCGTCTATGGACGATCTTGCTTCTGTATCATCATCATCATCATCATCATCATCATCATCATCATCATCATCACCGTTAACATTTATTGATTTCGGTTGGTCAATATGTACAGCTGATCCAGATAATGATCGACATGAAATTCTACTGCAAACACTTCAAAACTTATTCGAACGAACACCACGTATCGTTCAAATATTTGCTGGTCCTAATTATTGGAATTTTCGAAGAGTCATAGAAAGTCGGAAACAAGGTCTAAAAGAACTCCTAGATCATCCATGGTTAACAACAGGTGATACCATAATAAATAATAATGATTATTTATGAACAGTATGGTAATTTTAAAAATTATTTTTGATATTTCTTTATTTTGTCATACTTGCACATGGAACTGTGATAGAATCAATCTATTTTTCTTGTTGACCTGGTGATTTGATGTTTTCTCTTTTTTTCCTTGCATGACTTTTGCATTAGTACAAAAAATGCATATACGCTTGTAAAGATAGGCATACAGTGGCCTTTTTTTTGTTTCAGTTTAGCTGCACGTCTGATGTCTAGTCGTGAACTTGTCAGTTACATGTAAAATATAAAATAAAGGGAAGGAAAAAACACGGAGTGCAACAACAACAAAAAAAGCACTATGTTTCATCTATTTTCAGCTATTATATTGAAACATATGTAATTGATTGCTATTGGTTATTCATTTGTTTTATATATTTTTTTGTTCCTATTTCAACATTTGAAATAAAAAAAGAGTCTGATGAATGAGTATTTAATGTTTCTTGAAATAAATTTTCTCAAACAAGTGAAGCTGTTATTTCTCTATGAATAAAGTTGGTGATTCTTCGGAATAAAAACAGAAGTTAATTTGTTTTTTCGTTAAATCAAATAATTGAACTATTTATTCGAAATAAAAATTACACGATTATTACTCATATTTATTTACATGAATCAATATTAATTGGATCATATATTAACAATCTATTTGGACCATTCGATTGTATAACAATGCGAGATATAGTAGGGATAACAGCAATAGATTTAGGTTGATGCATATGAGAAACAGTTAACAAAAGCTTATCAAGCGATTGCCATAGAAGACGATCATCAAATGAATCAGCAATAAGCCATAATTTAGTATTAAATCGACATATTGATGTACCACCAATAGCAAAACGTCGAATAGAAAAAAGTGTTCGATCTAAAACTTCTAATTTTCCAGTATGCGTAGAAATGAAATGTTGATCATCGAATTCAATATCTTCACAAACATGATCAAGACGTTTTTGACGTAGAAATTTTAATGTATTGAGTTCATATAATTTCAATGTTCGAGAATCAACACATGCAATTAATGTTGAATTACAAGCAATACGACACTTGTTTTTATCTTTATCAACAAGTAAAGTATTTGTTATTTGTTCTTTTTCAAGATTGTATGTTATTAATCGTCCATTTGACATTAATAAAAATTCATTGCGCTGCGAACACCAAACAAAATCATCAACAGGAAAAGAAATATCATTTAATTCAACTGAACGTATTATATCGAAATTATTATTTTCTGTTTGACGTAATTCTAATATATTTTTATCATTATGCGTATAAATAAGTGCAAGTTCATTGAGAGGTAACGGAAGATAAGCCATACCACAATAGATAGATGAAGGTTCAAGTGGAATAGAAAATGTTTCATGTGTCTCATAATTTGACTGGTCAAGTTGTTCGTGTTTAGGGATCTCATCGGATGAAGCCATATTAAGTTTATGATCTAGAAACAGATAGCTAGACTATAAAAACGAATCGATGGGCAATTTAAATTAATTTTACTATTTAAACATAAATTTTAGGTTTCATTTTCATCTTATTAATGATCTGAAGGACAGACTTTTTCTTATGTTTGGATCAATAATTTCCATGGAATAATCTATGAGCGTGAGCTATAATAAAAAGAGGATGAAGTATTTATTTTCTATTCATTCAAATATCATGATTTAGTTCCAGTGACACACACACGCGCGCGCGCACATACACTGATAAAAATATGTGGAGAAGAATAAACCCTCAATATCCGTTTATGAACGTCAAATCCGTTTAATTGGCACGATCAACCCTTTCTTAAACCATTTTTTCCTCGGAAAAATCCGTAAGGGTATATCTCCCGTTGCAAATTCATATACCCTTGTGCTAATTTCTGTGTTGATAAACTCTTTTTCCGTAATTGAGCCGAATCAACCCTGAATTTGAGCGTTTATTATTGCAATGATAAACCCTGCGTTTCAGGGTTAATTCGGCTGAATTACGGAAGAGGAGTTTATCAACATAGAAACTAGTACAAGGGTATATGAATTTGCAACGGGAGATGCCTATACACGGATATTGAGAGTTTATCCTTCTCCACATATTTTTATCAGTGTACACACACACACACACACACACGATTGATCCTTTATATATACATAAGACTAAAACTAATCGATTGTATATTTATACAAAATTAATTTTGGTATTAAATAGAATATAGCTTTTAAGAATATTTGATATTGGAACTGATCTACGAACTTTTCGCAGATGAATATAGACGACTAAAGAAACTTAATCAGTCGATAAGCATGTTCGAGGCACACTTAATTCAATTATATAAATGTCATTCCTATCACCGACGTAGATAGATAATAAGAATAGATGGTCCATTGCATAAGTATATTTTCCAAAACCTTTCGATTAGATCAACATAGAAGAAATTTAATCTTATTTTTAATAATATTCATTGGTTTCAATCCATATAGAAAATCATTCCTATGAAACTCACCGTCTAAAAAAACGAGTAAACATAATTACATTTCAATAAGGAAAAGCAAACGTAGTTTTTATAATATACATTAAAAAACACTCAAAATTCTTTTTTATTTAAATGCGTATTTATACAATGAAGGGAATATATAAATGAGAATAAAAAATCATATTATGTATGTCTATATAAACACAACACCGAGATGATAAATATCGACATGTTTTTATTTGTTTTCTTTTTATTCAACCGGAATCGTCCAAACGAGGTATGACAATTGATGCGTATGTGGATTTAAATTTTGTCGAGAACGTTCAGTAAGTTTCGGACACTGAATGAATCCGATTGTTTTTAAATTTGGGCAGTTTTTGAGCAAAAATAGGAAGCCATCATCTGTTATTTCGGTACACATTCTCAAATTTATTTCATTTAATGTATGATGAAATGCTGACTGTCCAATCGAGATCAATGAATCATCAGTTATAGAAGTTTGTGTTAAAGCTAGCGAGCGAAGATGAGTTAATTGTTGTAGACCATTAATACCTGCATCAGTCACTTTTATGCAACCAGTTAAATCAAGTTCCATTAGCCGCGAGCAATAGCTACCAATAGCAATTACACTTTCATCGGTTATATGTGAACAATGTAGTGCGCGTATTTTTCTCAACGATGGATATTGTTGAACAAATTGACTGAGGCCATAATCTGTTATTTGTAGACCACGTACATATATTATGGACGGATTTAATACTGATGTTGTTGGTGTATGTGGTGGAATTTCGTTTTGTGTTGAGGCTAAGTGTTGAAGACGTTTTCGTTCGATTTGTGCAGTTAATGAGCAACGTGCCATCAATGCTAACGATTGATCGGTTATGTCGACGCAATCCCGAAAATCGAATGTACGCGTACGACAATTCAGTAAAAATGGTAGATTATCATCTGTTAAAAGACCACGATGAGAGAGCACAGTAAATAAACGCGCTTTCAGATTAACAGGTAAAGTATTTAATGTTGATGATTGTGTCAAAAGAAGCGTATTAAAATTGTTAACAACTGCATACTCACACAATGCTACTAATTTAGCTACCATGATCTATAATGTAAAAAACAAAATATATAAAATTATCGATAACATATTTTTAAAGCTAAAAGCCAATAAATTAATTTGATAACAATTTCAAAAAAAAGAAGACTAAAATTTTTGTATTTAGCCCTGTAGATTATTGCAAAAAATATGTCATTAAAAAATCACATGAACATTCCCAGAATAGCTAGAAAAAACGCACTAAGTAAAAAACAAATATTCAGGTTATTCAGCTAATAAATATAATGTACATAGCCAATTAATCATGGAAATTTCTTCATACATCAATTGTATCGAGTGTAGTAAAACATTTTGTAAAGTCAACATTGGGAAGTGGAATGTCGTGTTTACGTGCAGCCCAAATTGCAGCGCCTAATTGATTCAACGAACAAGAAATAATTCAAAAGAGAAATTACTTTTTGCTTTTTTTCTCATACCGATTGCTGCGGACGATGTTAATTGAGCAAGTTCAACCTTATGAAACGGCAGTGCATTTCCATTTGATAGCGCATCAGTGAAACCTACCGATATGAAACTGTTTAATAAATAATTCAAATAAAAATATCTATGTTCAACTAACTGAATATCAACAAAATATAGACTACACAGCAGTCATGATTATTTACCTGGTTTTAAAAATTTCCAACTACGAAACACTGAACCCACCGCCACAACTCTTAATGTTCCTTGATCATATAATTTGGTTTCAATATGACCTGAAATGGCTCGAAGATGTGTACCTAGCATAAAGCCAGCTTCTTTAAATAGTTCTTGACTTGCTGCATCATTATTATTCATAGCCACTAGAAATTGAAAGAAAAACAAAACATCGTTTTTTTACAAATCTGAACATCTAGAATTTTTTGTTTTTCGTAACGAACATTTAGCAATAACTTGAGTAAAACGTGCGATAAAATCTTTTTGAAAATTTTTATAAAAATAACTCAAAAGTTGGCTCATATCTTGAATCTATTTAAAGAAAAAAAAAACAATGTGGAAAACTGAGATTATGAATGAAAAACAAAATTTACTTTAAAATATACTTTTATTTCATCACTTAATCTGGTTAAATCATGACGAGATAACTTTAGATTATCAGCATGATCAAAAACACATTTAATAGCTCGTTGAGCAATCCAATAACCACTTCCTTCATCACCTAATAAATGACCCCATCTAAATAATAAGCTATGCAGAAAAAAAACAAAATCAATCGTAGATTTCTTTCTTACCCTCCGGCTCGTTTGCTTGAACCATCTCCATTGTAAACAACGCAATTTGAACCTGTTCCAGCAATAATGACAACTCCACCGTTGGGTACAGGTCCCAATAAATCTTCACCAATGGAAACTTTATTTGTGTCAACATTGAGCGATTGAAGTTCATTTCTTAAATTTGATTGTGACTCAATTTGTCCAGCACCACTTAATACCATACCCTAATATTAGGCTAGAGAATTATTCTAAAACAATTTTCTATTATGCTACTTACAACACTAACAATTTGTTCCCAATTCACTTCAGATTTAACAAGAATATCATCAATGATTTGTTTCAATAATTTTGCTACATTATCAAACCCAAAAACCTTTCAACAAGAAGATTTAATTTAGTATTTAAAACTAAAGTAAAACAATTATTTACCCAAGGATTAGATGGTCCTCCTTGTACTGTTGCGTATACCTTACCAAACTCATCGATTAAGACTCCTTCAGTTTTCGTTGCACCACCTTCAATACCGATAAAAAATCGATTCATGATCTAAAGAATATGTAAAACTTAAATTGTTCTCTCATATGAAATAATTCATCATTAAAAAACGAAAAGAGAACTTTCAATAAAATAATCATACAATAACACAACATCACGAGAGCAAAAAAAACCAAACGTACATGACAAAAGAAAAAAGTAAATATACATACATAACAACGAAAGAACGATTAACTAAGAAAAAAAGAAAAAAAGAAGTGCTACAGGGCTACCGGAGGAAAAAAGAGGACGACAAAATCATATATAAATGAAACATATCGTTTAAAGAGTTTCAGACCTCTGATAGAAATAAAAGCTTTTATATGACAACATACATACACAGAAAAACATGAATTGTTAAAAGTATTTGTCTCAGTCCATGATATTAGCAAACACTATCTGTTGTATGAGTTTAGATTACTCGGATATGACTGTGTTGAATTTATATTCGACTGTTCAGATGTAGTTGTATTAGATGAATAATCTAACGATTGTTGTTGCATTGTATATCCATTTGGACGATGATCAGCACGATTTTCTTTTATAAAAACAAAAACAAAAGTAGAAATACATTCAATTTTCTATATAAAATAAAACCTCTCTAGTATAGATCTAGTCAAAATTGAAACTTTCGCTACTATAAATTGTTTCCAGGAACGAGAACATCAACTAAATTTCTGTTCCTCAGAATGAAGAAGATTGATTAATATACGTCAAACTAGAGATGTGTTTCCACGCAAAGGAATAGTGCACGCATCACTATCGTAAATAAATAGACAAGTAAAAACGCACAAACACTTTGGTCTATTTAAGAACCTGCTAGAAAATGTAGCACGAGGCTAGTGCTGGCTCTCTTAGATTGACATATTCAAGAAAATGTACGCTGATACTTCTCTCTAACAATACTCATCGATAGAAACTTGTTATTTTCTTCTAAACAACCATTGGATAGTGTGTCGTAATGAAATTGTAACTCTACCTAGTACAACAATTATTTTATTTAATATTTTAATTTAGAGACCAATAATATCATATTGACCAAGATGAACGCTACCATAAAATCATGAGATAATAGATCATGGGCTATTACATTTGCTTTTTAATTTAAATATCCGTAGTTAGCTTACTTCCTTTTCTGTATGTCACATGATTTTTAACAGTCATGCAGTATAACGGTAACCTTATGTTTCTCGTCCGACAAATTAGTAATAAAACATTAGTAGTTCATATTACCGAACTTGTTATTGTTCATGAGACCGTAAACAAGTAAACGGTCACTGTTCACATAAATAGATTTTTTTGTATATAGGAGTCTTACTTTTAAAATATGACTGTGATGGTTGTTGTTGTTGTTGTTGCTGTTCATTGTGGTAATATTGTTGCTGTTGCTGTTGTTGCTCACCTTGACGGCGCTGTGTAGGTGGTGATGATTGAGATTGTTGTTGATAATTAGCTGAATTTGTCATAAGATTATTCATTGAACGATGTGATGGAAATCGATTCGATTTTTGATTCCAATAAAGTTCATTATTTCCTCCGCTATAATTTCGGGTATAATTTCCACTGCCAGATCGGCGAGGATTATTATAGTTATTCCAATATTGTTGTCCAGAATATTGGTTATGCTGTTGTTGTTGACCAGATTGATGATGATTATAATGTTGTTGATTTGATTGTGAATGACCTTTTGAATGATGTGATGGAGCTGTTTCATTTAGATTTGAGTGATTTGCCGATTGTGTACCCGAATTGCTACCTGTTCGACGTGAACTCTCATGATTATTATTATCAAGCCAAACTGAAAAAGAAAGCACACAGTCGAGATTTTTCATTTATGATTTTCAATGTTTGCTAGATTTACAGTCAGCTATTAGTTATCATCATCAAGAGTGAATCAAAACGATAGAAAAATTTTATTGTCTATGTTTGAACGCAATCGTATTCAACTACTAGCAATAATCAGTATTCGTTTTTGTTGTTGTAGAGATAGCCAACAATAGGACCTTCAATCGACCTCATAGAACAAAACAAATCCACATAGACGAGGACTTTTTCTTTGTTGACAGTTCTCTGATCATTAGAACATTATTAATTAATTATTAATATTGCCACTATTCTATGTATAGGCAGGTACCTTAGTTCAATATTTTTCTGTGTAACCTATAGCCAACAAACTATTAAGAAATATATTGTAGAACATCAAATGGAAAAGTTTTGTGTGATAAGTTTACACAATAGCCATTCATAAAATTATTCAAAATATTTTTTTTTGTTGTTTTTTTCCTTCTAAAACTCGTTTTGTGCTTGATTACTATATGAAAGTCATGAAAAGAAGTTCAGTGAGTTAGGTCTCATGTGATAGCCGAAAAAGAGTCAAAATTATTATTCAAACAAGAGATCACTATGTGCAATCATAGGCAAAAAAATCAGTGTGCGAAAGAAGTTTTTCTTAGACTCTATTAATTATGTATATATTACCAAAGACTTCTCTGCCAAATATAAGATTAGAAAACCTTGAAATAAATAATTATTATAAACTTTACTAAGACTAACGAATATTTTAATGTCCATCTAAAATCATTCATACAAACCTCTTTGTAAATGTTGTATAATTTCTCCAACATTGGAAAAGCCTTCATTATTAATCGATGTTGATGAAGTTGTTGTTGATTCAGCCAAAGAACTTGTTCTTGAATTTTGTCCTGATCTATAGATATAGACGGAAAAAAAGCATAATTTAAGTCTCATTATCAAAAGGTATTCATTCTCAAACCGTTCATTATTGCTAGTCAAATTAAATTGCTTTTCACCGCCTGATGAATTCGGTGTTGAAGAATTTGTCGATGGATAACGTTGATGTTGTTCTTCACGTGAGGTTGTATATTCTTCAGTAGCATTCGGCTCATTTGAATGTGTAGCACTCATTATGATAGGAGTTTTATTTCAGAGATCTATAGGCTGGAAAGTACAAAAAAAAAGCGGTCAACAAAATTTTACTGGACAAAAAATAAACAAGCAAACAAATAATTCAAATTCAAACTATTGGATTGAACTAAAACAAATGATAACAAATATGATTAATTAGATTATATGATGACGATGATGATATTTTTTAATTGTCAATAGTTTTTGAAGAAAAGCTTCAAATTAAAATATTAATAGAAACCAAAAAACTTCTGATTAATTAGCGGAAAAAGCGACATCTGTTGTTTCATGTATATGTGTGTATATACATATATATATATATATTATCATAAGAATTGAATAATTTTTCTGCATCTATGGAATAGCAAAATTTTTAAAACATTAGTAAAATTCTAATCGATACGTTCCAGAAACTTCAGGATACTTATAAATAAATAAAAATGTTGATTTGGTATAAATTTATTGAAATACTCCAAATACACAAAAATATTCATTACATTTACCAATGGTATGATTCCTCACCTGGAGGATGCTTTCAAATAGAATAATAATTTAGTTATTATAATGCTTATGAAAAATATTTTTCTTGCTATGAATTATTAATTAAGAAATTTTCATTTCGTGCCTTTTTTCATATCGTCATTAAGTATAAGTTTTAAACTAGAAACACATTAACAAAATACATTTGCCTTAGTAATAAAATATATTTTGTTTGCCACCATGCTAATTCATAACAACAGAAAATGAAGACCAATGAATTCCTTAAAATATCATACTGATATTTTTACTTAGTTTATTATGTAACAAACAAAATATAACAAAAAGATTCTAATCAGTCATATTGACTACAATTTTTATCTTATTGTTCATATTCACAATGCTTCATCATACAAATATATGCATGTAAACTGGAAAAAGTTTTACTATACGATAAACTAAAGATAAACAAAAACATTTGTATTATCTTTGACAGAAAAATGTTTTTCAATTATACAATTAAAAAAAGTCTATCTGCTAAATTATGTATTATTTGCATTGTATCATTTCCCACAATGAGGACATGATTTAGTAGGTATCGCATCAAGTTGATAATCGTTTGCATTATCATTACCTAGCTCCAATGAAAAATCATCTATAGATTCATCGATCACCAGTTTTATTCCTATGCGAGTTTGAATAGGTGAAACCACGATACCATTAATAAGCGTATGTATTATTCTTCCAAGTTTTTTACAACTAGTGAAATGAAATAAAGACATGATAATTAAAGACAAAAAGTAGAAGATTTTCATTTTATTTTTAACACTTACCAAGTTGAATCAATACCGGCATTAACATAAATCGAACCATCGGAATCTTCGATTTCCGTCAAATGTCGATCTATTGGTTGAATCGTTGGCTTCCGAAATTTTTGTCGACGGACAATAGAGCTGCTCATAGTGAAAAAGATATGTTATTACAAGGAAATTTAAAAAAACTGAAATAATTCTACGGAAAAACTTGATGGCACAGATGTGGCGTCTGTATTGAGTAGAAAGAGTAGATAAAAAAAAATAATGCTCAAGATGATGTTTAGTCAGTCTAACAGCAATATAATATAAATACTCATATATATATATACGTTCACTTGTCTTGCGTTCTGTCTCTCTCGCTGGCGAGAGAGAGAGAGAGAGAGAGAGAGAGAGAGAGAGAGATAAAGTACACAAACAGAGCGGTAGATATCAAATGGACGGCTGTTCAAGTTAGCTTCGCTCTACGCAATATCGACCTTTTTATTCACTATTCAGTACCTTTATAATCAGCGTTGGCTAACTGATCGATCCTTCAAACATTATCAATAAAAATTATTGGATACTAGTCCTATTTTTGTATACAATACGATCATATGATGTTTCTTTAATATTATTTTTCTTCGTAGAAAAAAACATTTTCTTTTTCTATTACATTAAAAACAAGAGAAAATAAGAGAATTGAAACAGAACAACAGAAAGAAAGAAAGAAAGAAAAAGAGAGAGAGAAAGAAAGAAAGAAAGAAAGAAAGAAAGAAAGAAAGAGAAAGAAAGAGAAAGAAAGAAAGAAAGAATTAGATATGTGTTGGTACTTTATGTTGAATATTATTATGATAATACAATCAAAAAACAGCCAACTAAATCAGACAGACATTTCACTGTTTTGATTTTCTTAACGACATTTTATTATATATTATTCATGCTTTGAAAAGAAAAAAATAAAAAAGACAATTGCACAAAAAATGAGAAGAAAAACACTTCTAATCGAATGTTATTAACTGTGGTTCAGGTTTTTCTTGATTGATGATCGGTGTTGTTTGTTGTTGTGGTGGTGGTGGTGATTGAGTATACGAAATGTTCGCATTAGTCATTGACATTTGACCATATGAATGATTATAATTGTTATCTAAACAAAAAGGGGGAAAATGGTTAACACAGATACTTCGACAAAGACAACTAGAAGTGACGAATCAAATTGAAGATTGTTTTTTTCTCTATTAATAGAAATTGAAGTTTTTTTTGGCTATTAAATTATTCCAAAGTTAAGATACGTTTCTATAGAAATCGAATTTTGGATATTTTCAAACTCGTTATAAAATAAAAATATGCATTCAAAATACCTCCAGTAGCTCCCATAGAGTAGATAATCGGTTGCGGAACTGGTGTTTGAGTTAATACATTAGCGTCTAGTTTTGGTGGATACATCATCATATGAGGATATTGAGATGGTGGTAAAGATTGTTGTGATGGAAGTGATGGTACAACAGAATATTGATTTATTGGATCCATTGATGGCTGTGTTGGTAAAATTGCGTACGGTTGTTGATGAGCAGGATTTGACTGCGGCAATCGACTATAATCATATGATGCAAGTGGCTAAAAACGAAAATAAGAATGATCTTGTTTGTAATGACGAATTTTAGTTATATTATGATATATATATATGTATATATATTAAGAGGATTAATCGATGCATGCACACATGAACAATTCTTGAATTTATTTAACATATGGCTATCGTCACGTTTAGACGGGAAAATGTACCGTTTTAATCTATGCGGAATTATAGAATATGTTTGTTTGGATTTTTCTACATACCAATTGAGGATTTTGTACAAATTGTTCTCGTGCGAATGTTAATTGTCGTTGTTGTTCTAGACGATTTTTCATCTCAAGTTCTTGTTGTGCTAAACGTTGAAGATGTAATTGACGTTGATATTCAAGATATTCCTAAAAGTGAATAGAATAAAATACTGAAGATTTTTTTTGTCATTATATTTGTTTCCAGCGCTAACCTGTTTCTTTTGTCGCATAACATCAAGTTTTTGTGCTAATTGTATTTGTCGTTGTCGTTCACGTTCTAAAGCTTCTTGTTGTTTTCTTTCGCTATGTTCAGTACGTAGAGCATTCAGTGCTTCTCGTGCATCTTTTAATTGATTTAATTGATCTTGTAAATTTTCATAATAAGCTGAACGAAAGCAAAATGAATTTTTTTAAAATTTTTCTTCAATACGCCTGATTTTCTTTTACTTCGTTTGTCTTCTAATAATTGCATGAAACGAGGAAGTTCAGGATGAAAATGTTGAAGCATAACAAAAACAGATTGAACAGATGTGTCCGTTGTAATATTTCTACTACGTTGTTGATTACTTAACATTCGAAATTTAAAATTATTTATATTATCAGTTACAATAGTTGTAAATTGATCAATTTCATTGTCGGTTATAAAACCATTCAATTCATTCTAAATATGATCGATAAATTCATTTTCATAAAAATTCTATTAAACTAAATTTACTGGTATTTGTGTTGTATTATTTTCTATTTCATGTCCATTAGAAAAATTTGATGAATTAAAAGTTTCTCGTTGTTGTTGTTCCTGACGGCCTTTTTCGATATATTTTGTTAGTTCAGCATATTCATGATGATTATTATTAATTTCAGTCACACTCTACAAGAAAAAAAACATAGTTTCAAATATTTGAATTTCTCATGGATAGAAAATCTTCAGAAATCGATATAATATTCTCATTTAACTTCGTAAAAAAAACCGAAAGCCCACAAGCCTGAGTAATCTATTCAAGTTTTAATCATTTGTCAAAGTTCTCGTATCAGATATCAGAATTTCCAGGCATTTTTATGAGCATTTCCGACGAAATCTGATTGCTGCCGAAAGGAGAAATTATCAATCTGAATACGAAATGCACTGGGCTATAATGTTTTGTAGTTTTCATTCGATGATAATTACCGGAGGATTATTATTACTAGTATTAGGTGCAGATAAGAAACTTGACATAGCATATTTTTGTGTTAACATTTTTTTCTGCCGCTCTTTTTCTTCTGCTTCACTTTGTGAAATAGCCAAAGCAAGTTGAAATGATTCTTCTTCATCGATTTCAGCTTGAGTTTTAGTCTAGATCAAAGAAATGGTTCGTATTTTTTTCGAAATTCTTTTACGCATTTATTTACTCGACTAGGTGCTATGCCACTAGTTGCTATTGCTGGTTTTGGTGTTAAAGTTGGTCTTGGACTTAATTGTGGGCTAATTAAATAAAAATGGTTAAAGAAGAATTTAAAAATTTCTTATCATTTTACCCAGTTGTTAATTTTTCATAGCATGCGTCACAAACACGTACGTCCCGATCCATACCATATTTTGGTATTGCGCATTGTTTTGATGCACCTATAAAAATAATGATTTTCTTGAATCAATATCAAAATCTTAGTAAAAATTTACATTTATTGCAAAAAATTTCTCCACATGCTCGGCAATGATGCTAAAAATGAAATCACGAATAATACATTTTTTGAATTCGAATTTCAATTTACTTTGCGGTTAAACGTTGTAAATACTTGTCGACAACGATAGCATTCTTTATCATCTCGCCATTCCGGTGCTATGTCATTGTTTTCAAACATAACTTCACTCTCTTTCAACGGTGGAAAACGATAATTTTCAAGTTTCATCAAATTATAAGTGTCAGTGAAAATTTTATATTGTTGACCTGAAATATTAATCTCATTATCTATTCAATAGAATCTATTCAACATACCAAGACCATGCGACCAACATTGAATTAACTCAAGAACTTTATCGCGAATTACATCAGGTCCATTCTTAAAAAGTCAAATCTAATAAGTTCGTTTTTTCGTTTTGGAAAATATTTTACTTTTGTCAATTCGCGCAAAGCATCAATCATATCGCGTTGTGAGACTTCTTTATGAATTGCTCCTCCACAATTTTTTACTATGGATTCCAAACACTAAAAAAAGGAAACAAATATTAAAACAAAATACTTCACAGAACTCCTTCTAGAACTGTAATTTTATGCTTTTGAAGGTTCCATAATGGGTAAATAGACTTTTGATCCCCAAAAAAATGACTATTGATCACCAAAATGTGTTAGTTGCGAAATGATCACCAAAAATAGATACAAATGATCCCCAATCTATTTTATTGTGAAATGATCACCAAAAAAATGTACAAATGATCCCCAATCTATTTTGTTGCGAAATGATCACCAAAAATAGATACAAATGATCCACAATCTATTTTATTGTGAAATGATCACAAAAAATATATATTTGATCACCAATTTGCTTTTTGTGGAATGAATGGTAGAGTTGTGGTAGATAACGTGCTTATCTCAAAAGACAACTGATTGATATGACATAGTTAAACAATAATCATAATTGGATCAAAATGATCTCATTAACTGAAAATAGTTACACAAAATGCTCTATCATAACAATGCAGAAAACTAAAAATGTGAAGTACAAAAAAAGTTCGAACAGCATGGTTACCATGATTTTGGTAGAACATATTTTCTGTTTCCATTGTTTATTGTATTTTGTGTAACTATAGTTGTTATTTATTATTCTATCTCTTATTGTATTGATAATAAATTCGGTGATCGAATATATATTTTTTGTGATCATTTCACAATAAAATAGATTGGGGATCATTTGTACATTTTTTGGTGATCATTTCGCAACAAAATAGATTGGGGATCATTTGTACATTTTTTTGGTGATCAAAAATATTGCTACCCTTCCATAATTCCGATTAAAGTAATCAATTTTATAGTAGACTAGTTACTATGAATGACAAAAGATGTTTAATGCTACCTATTTCAAGACTATCTTTCGTGTAGCGAACTGTGCGTTTGTTTCAATGTACTTATGAATCTTTCTCTGTTTCAATGCGATATAAATAACAAAACTCTCATTTTAGATCAAATTTCCCAAAAATTTTGATTCTACACTCGAACGAAGAAACCAGCTGTGCCTTGAATATTTTCATTTCTTTCAACAAATAATTTTATTATATTTTCTAAGGTAACAAGGTAACAACAGTTGTATTTACATGCGCAAGTAATTGAAACTAAATAAAAATCCTAGAAAAGAATTTTTTTTGCGTATATGACTACCGTTTGCAACGCCAAATCTTTCTGACAACCGCGTTTTTTTTGGCACAAAAATTTCTTACAATAACCAATAGTTTCTAGTCTGATACGGTCAAGCCTCCCAAACACGAAAGATGCAGTTTTTCAATGTACGTCATAGTAATGTTCTAAATCTATGAGAAAGTTATCGGCATAAAAACTAGTAACTATTCAACATTATAAACTATTTACGTCAGTTCAAGTTATCGCGAATCTGTACAGGAGAATTTGTACATCAATAAAAATAGATTCTAAATAAAAATCATGCTAAAAATACATACATGAAGTGAATTAAGAATAACTCCTGGATTTTCATGGCCGAATTTTTTCTTAATTGCTTGTATTGGATATTTTGCTCTAAAATTTCAAGGACACATATTGTTTTGCTGCTATGATGTGAAAGAAAATTTTTCTTACGGCACTTCTTGTGATTTCACAATATCGCAGAGTTGAAGAATCGTCTGCCAATCGGGTTCGATTAAAAGAGGACTTGTTGCTTTTTCTAAATAAAATCATTGTGAATATAGAAGAACTTGAAAAAACAAAATTTTACCAAATAATTTATCAAAAACTTTCGTGTTTGATATACCGAATAAACTCATATTAATCTAAAAAGAAAAAGCAGAACTTAAAATATTTATTCAAATGTTATTTTATTTAAACCGAGATTATTTTCATCTCGATATGCCCATGAAAAGCAATAATGTTCAAATAACTGTTCTAATAATTCTTTTTCATCTAAACCTCCATCGATCCTTTCTATTCGTCTTTTTTCGTTTATATTCAAATATTTTTTATAATATTCATTTAATGTTAAACAAAATGATGAAGTATAATTTGTATTTTTATATCGTTCACATTGACTATTTAATGATTGACATGATTCCATACCAATTAAATGACATGAACGTTGTTTTAAATTTTCAAACATAATTTCTCCAAAACGATCGTTCATATTAATTTGTTCGAAGTTTAAAAATAAACAACATTGAGAAAATGTTTGAGATAAATACTTTAATAGATTTAATGAGTGTTCATTTGACATATAAATTAAAACACATTCACTTAGGAATAATGTTGGTTTTGTAAAATCAATAATACTATTCGTTGCAAGAAGTTTTAATTGATTATCTAATTGTGTTGTATTACGTAGATCAGCTGGTAAAATTGTATATAATGATGAATGAAATCCGCATGGAATTTTCAATGATTTATTATCCATTGGTAATTTATTACGTAGAGAAGGTAAACGATGAATTTTATTTGATTTTAGTTCAGTGATTTCTTCGAAATCAATATCAACAAAATGTTTAAAACGAAGATTTTCATTATCTAATAAGTAAAATACTGTTGTGTCAAAACCACAGCCAAGATTTATTATTTGACAATCATTATTCGTTAGTTTTATAAACTTTTCAATTAAATAACGAACACCATGAACGCGTACATAATAGCCAAGACTGATTTCTGGTGTACGTCGTTCTTGTTGTATTGAACCAGCGAGAATTTTTAAATACGGATCATTCCAATATCCACGTTCAATTGCGTAGAGTTTACACTGACATGCATCATTATTTGTTGCAATTATGTTACTATTATCAACAGCACGTTTATCCATATTATAAAACAACTTGAAACTATAGATAAGAAACAAAAAACAAGATAGAAATCAATGACGTTAAGTTAAATATTACTCACGTTGTTTATATAATGATGAGTAATGATTTGTTTTAGGACTATTGATATTTCTATAGATTTGGATGCCTATATCGCTGTTTTTTTTCTGAACAGATGTCTGCTTTCATGTATTTGAACACGTTACTCATTCGAGATTAAACAAACGTTTAGTGACATCTTTAGATTTTGTTGCAATTAGTAGGAATAATGAATCCATGAATGAATTTCAAGTAAGGTAAATGATTTGATTTTTTAAAATTAATAGAAGAAGGTATTTTGGAGAATTACTTCCTAAATTATTTTTTGAATCCCCTTGATTATCTTTAGATGTCGTTAGTGTACAAATATAGTGGGTCGCAAAATTGATCAACCACCTTGTTGAATTTTTTTGTTTTTTCATATCTCAAAAGCTAAATGAATTATAATGGTCTGGGTTTCACCATATTGTAGCCCATGATATCTCGTATTCATACGCAAAATTTCAAGTCAAGATTTTAATCAGCTCAGTTTTTATTCGCGATCAAATAAGCATTTTGAGCCATCAGAGTGCAATGGTGATTCGTTAGGGTTGGATTCCGCTAAAATCCAACATCGGATCCGATTGGATCCAATACCAAGGATCCAACTGTAGGGCCGTGTCCAGGTATCCCTCAAGATTTCGTCGGTTTTATTGAAACATATATGATATTCGGCATATCCCCTGTCCGACCCTTGTCGGAATCCGATAGGATCCTACTGTCGGAATGATTCTCCTGGGAACTTCCTATCATTTTTCACCGCTGCAAAATTAATCAACCACTGGATAAAAAGAATTTTTTTCATAAAAAAAGAAGTTGTTTTAGCAGTTTCAATATCTCGTGGAATATCCTTTCATACGGATACATTCGTATAAACGATTTGGAGCTGATTCGACTAATTTATTAGTTACGTCCTGTCCGATAGTTTCCCATTCAGCCTGCAGTGTTTCTCGGAGTTCTTTTTGGTTTTTTGGCTGGTGTTTTTTCATACGACGTTCGAGTTCGTCCAAAAAATGCCCTATCGGACTCATATCTGGCGAAAATGGTGGCCAAATTGAACGTTTTACACACTGTTTGTCGAGCCAATTCTTCACGACACGTGAAGTGTGTTCCGGGTCATTGTCCTGTTGAAACACCATTTCTTTTCCCAGTTGTAATTTCTTTGATAACTGAAACAAACTTTCAGCCAAAATTTCTTTGTACATTTCCCTGGTCATGTTACCGTCAACAAAGATCAAATATTCCACACCATTCCACGCAAAAGATCCCCAAACTTTCACATTTCCGCCTCCGTGTTTCACTGTTGGAACTGTACATTTTGGATTGAATTACTCTGTCGGTGTTCACCATATACCATAAACTTGCCGTCAGATCCGAAAAGATTGTATTTTGATTCGCCTGCCAGTAAGACTTGTTTCTAGAATACCATGGGCTCATCCAGATACATTTTGACATAATTCAAACGTTTAAGTCGGCTTACCTTATTCATGTACGATTTTTTTCGAGCAACACGCCCGTATAATCCAATTTCATGAGCGCAACGACGAATTGTGTCATTTGATATTATTACCCCTAACTCTTTTCCAATCTCATGTTTGACAGACGATGCTGATTTTCGTCGATTCACTTTAATTTTTCGTTGAATGGCTTTGTCTACTCGTTCTGTGGTCTTTCTTTTACGACCACGGCCGAGAATACTGACTATACATTTTTTTTGTATTTAGTGCCCGTAGAATGAACTGTATTTCTCGAGCAGAGCAATTTCTCTGCTATATCACGTCCAGATCGTCTACCAAGAAACGTTTTAAAATAGTTTCTCGAAATTCATGCGAATGCTCTTGTCGTACGGGCGTCATGTGTGTGTGATTAAGAAAAGATTCAATGGAGTCTTTTTCTCGCAACCAAATGTGTGTCAGATACAGACAATAGTGTACAAAGACTAACTGGACTGAAATAATAGAGATATTCATGAATTGACGACGACTGTTGTATTCTTTTCTCCAGTGGTTGATTAATTTTGCAGCGATGAAAAATGATAGGAAGTTAAGCGTTTTTAATAAAAACTGAACAGATTGAAATTTTGTGTATGAATACGAGATATCATAGGCTACAATATGGTGAAACCCGGATGCTAAGGTGTAGTTTTAATTCTTTATTCACAGGTTCGATAACATACACTTTAACAATAATAATACCACGAAGTGTGAGAACAAAACAAAACAAAACACAGGAGCAGATTTACTCGTCTCCTATTATCTCCAATGAGATAAGGAATACATAATAATATGTGTGGAGGAAAATAGGAAAAAGAAAGATAGTGCCATCGAGGTAGATGCTAATTATCTGTGTGTACATACACAGATCATAACACCAGACCATTATAACTCATTTAGCTAGTGTGATATGGAAAAAACAAAAAAATTCAACAAGGTGGTTGATCAATTTTGCAACCCACTGTATATATATTTAGTTTCGGCTAAAATTTTCCGCATTTTGCGAATGTCACATTGCCAATGTCTTGTCTAAATCATAGACCAATTTTTCTTTATCAAGCGGTTGTCAATCATATATTAATTCATTTTTCAATCACAATACTTTTCATGTAGACGATGAAAACAATATCTTATTCAAATTTACTCGGCAAACGAGTTTTGGTTACAAGAGTTTTTGATACGTATATAATTCATCTTCTCATAAATTATCACCAATGCATATTATATTTTTTATTTTTGTTATTAGCTTGCAATCTATATTAAGCACTTTTCTTGGAAATGTATCAAAGATCTTTGAAATGAGTACGATATCAATTTCATGCCGACCAAGAAACTGGAATCAAATCTTTATTTACTTTATTGAAACTTAATTTCGAAACATGATAATAACATATATTAATATTCTAATAAGACTCCCTAATGAATGTACTCACCCAGCGAGTACTCATCATACATTTCTTGTGTATTCTGGCGAGATTTTGTAAAATACTCAGACATCTATATTTTGTTCTGCATCTTTCTAATGCGTTCAATTTATTTTATTTAAAAACTGATGGTAGAAAAGTGACGTGCATGATAAGAACTTCAGAAACGAGTTGTTTTATTATCTTAAAATGCTTTTTAATTAGGACATAAAGATAAAACATTTATCAACAGAATGCAAGAAAAACTAAATAAAATCTCTGTCGAAAACATTACAACATATGCAAACACAAACATAAACACCAATGAGAAATAAATTATGGATCGAATTAAGATACGCGATAACAATATAGATTCACTTTATATCGTTACAAAAAACACGAACATTTTAAATTGAAAGCTATTATCGTTAAGTAACAAATAAAAAACCGATGAACTGTCTTCTGTATGATAGATGTATCTTCAGAATATTGAAATTTATAATTTTGTGAAAAAATTCCTCATACGCCTTGTTTCATTAGTTTTCCTAAAAAAAATTAATTTTCTAAAACGATATTTCATCTTTGATTTAAGCTTTAAAATTTAAAATTTAACAAATAATTTTGTAATTTCAAATAAATATTTGATCTTACTCGAGAGGTGAGTAGCTGAACTGAAATGGATTTGTTTTTCTATTCTCTAAATAGCCAATTGACTACGGCACATGAATGACTCATCAGAAAATATGGAAGATGAAATCGATAATTTGTTTAAAGAGTTTTTTTCAAAATTTCGATTCATTATGCAGTTCCGAGGTCGACTAATCCGGTGACGAATTATATTGGATCCGATAACATCCTACTAACCGAGCAAATTCAATTGGATTCTGGGTTTCGGAATTATTGACGGATCCGAGGGAAGAATTTTAAAAATTATCAAAATTCTGTTTAGTGCAAAAAAGCTTTTTAGAGATTAACTATAGCAGACGTTTTTAGCATATCGGATCTCAGAGTAGGATACGATCGAATATGTATCGGATTCCGATCCTGTGATCCGAATCTCGGTCCGAAAACAGGAGCCGGTCGATTCTCGTGGGTTTTCATATGAGACCCGACGTAACCCGTTTTCAGATCTGATTTGATCCAGTTGTAGGGATGAACGACCTGGGCTGTTCTTAATTACGCAATATTATTTTATTTTCATGCATCCTACTGCATAGATGTTTTGCTGAACGAGTTGGGAAAAACGACGATGAGTACTACCTCGAGTACTCGTATTTTCGTGTACGAGTAATTCTTACGGAGAAAACTCATTGCAATACTCGTCATAGTACACGAAAAGTATTGTTACACAGAAAATTCAGCGAGTACTCATTCGAGTAATCTGAGTACTCATGCTGCAAAGTTGTACTCGCTAGACGAGTACTTTCACTAAGGGGCCTATCATGTTGCCCTGGCAAACATGACCCATTTGCCATTGGAATTGACAAAACATTTCTAATATTAACATCTATGAGGAAATAAATGATTTTAACGAAATGAGCGTACTTTATATAATTCACATAAAGGAAAATGCATGAGCATTCAATCATATATTTCGAAAATAGTCTTTACAAATATTTAAAATGTTAGAAAGATGTGCGTTGGTCACGAAGCATTTCCGTTCGAATTTAATGAAAACCACCCAGGTCGAGCATTACGGCTACCAGAAACGGTCGTATACGGCCGTAAACGTTAACGTACACTGCCGTTTCCTGCCGTTTCTCACTGTAAATGGCCGTAACTTGACGTTTTGACATACACCGTATTACGGCCGTAATTAATCGTGTCGTAAACGGTTACTAACGACCGTAATGTGGTCGGATATTTCCGTATCCGATCGTATCCGATTGTTTATGGCACGACACAAAAACGACCGTAATACGGTGCATACCAAACGGCCGTGTACGACACAATTGATCGACCTGGGCATCCAACCCACTATAATAGCTTGTTCTAGAACAATTGCTGAAGGACTCTTGATTTTATGGAGATATAAATGAGACATCTGTGTTTCGAAAGGCTAGATTTGTATTAAATTAGAAAACGGTATGAACTATCCGAATATTGACATATTCATCTCCAGTAGTGTCAAACTTGAAACTGAACTCAGTTGAAAATAGAAAATTTCAACTTTCAACTTTCAACTTATGGCGATATATGTGTGAGTCACTATTCTTCAGAATGTTATTGGTTTAAAAGTTGAAAATTTTAATTTTCAATTGAGTTCAAGTTTCAAGTTGGACATATATGTTCATCTCTTGATTATCATTTGGTCAAACGAAAAATTCTTAGTAGATTATTTTTGCTCTCTTGATTTCTTACTCATTAATAAAATGTTGTGACAAATTAGATGGTTTTCGTGAGATATAAGGAGAAAATTTTCAAGGTCAGCTTTAATCTAGCTCCCATGAATAACACCACCTTTTGCTCGGGATAAATTGGATTCCCACGGAATCTCTACACATTGAAGATTACTTTTTAAAATATAATATCATTTCTTCTATAAAAAAACGTTCGTCACATTCATAGCTCTTCCAAAATTATTCAAATTCTTCAGAAACTATTGATTAATATATTTTCAAAACTACCTCCCGTTATAGAAGACCCTCCTGGAGAGAAAGTTTGCCAGACATAATAGAAGACCCCTCCTGGAGAGAAAGTTTACCAGACATAATAGAAGCCCCTCCTGGAGAGAAAGTTTGCCAGACATAATAGAAGACCCCTCCTGGAGAAAAAAAATTGTCCGACGTAATAGAAGACCCCCTATGACGGTACCCGCGTCACTGTTGTTATCTTAGTGCCTATTTGTTTCTTTTTCTAGGTACTCTCTCTTCTTCTCTTGTTTGTTTTTGCGCCTAATATTGTTAATTTAATATTCTTCTTCTCTTCTTTTTTTTCAAGCTTCTTCATATATCTATCTTCACTGAGATATACTGATAATTACTCTTCTTTTTCTTCCCTGACTACTATTTTTCTTCTTGACTAATTACATATTACTTTCCTTTCAATTTGATTGTTCCTTACAATCATTCCAGCTTGTGTCAACTACTTGCTTGTGGAGTTCTTCTTGTTCTCATCCATTTCTGTTCATGGAATAAACTATTGGATTTTCATCCAATGTTCAATACTATTTAATTTTCATTGATTTCATTCTGCTATAACCAAAACTGTAGCACCTGGCATTTTTATTAGTTGCGTCTCTTATCCTTATCAAGGCGTTGCACTTCCTTTAATTAATAAATTTTTTGCTAATTGCGAATTTTAATCAGTGTTTTCCATGAAAATATGCCTGGTTCTTAGCATTTTAAGCTGGAAATATTAAGAGAATGTGTTCACAATTATAATGAAACCTATAAAATTCTGAAAATCCTGATGAAAATTCTGAAAATCGCTTTAGTTTTCTGGAAAATCTTTTAAATTAAATATTAGGAAAAAATGCGGTTCTTAATAGAAGACCCCCTGGGAAATTTTTATGCTGGAATATAATAGAAGACCCGGGGTCTTTTATTTTAAGGAGAGGGGGGGGTTACTTAGAGAGTTAAAACGAGGAAATAGAGCAAAACTAAAAGGATTAAATACATGCGCGTTTACACCGTCATTTATTGAGATGTGCGTAAGATGATGTTTCTCATTATTTGCACCAAAAAATATCTTTGCTATCAGATACTCCATGGGCTAATTTTTTCTTCGCTAGTGTTTCAAAATTTATAGTATGCATCTAAAACAAGAATCCGAGAAAGTCGCCTATAACAAGCACTGTTTTCATTTTCAAAACTGGCGCATTTGTAGATTCTAACAGGTACGGCGCGAACGAGGGGGGCTGGAGGGTGGGGCGGGGGGGGGGGGGGGGGGGGGGGGGGGGGGGGGGGGGGGGGGGGGGGGGGGGGGGGGGGGGGGGGGGGGGGGGGGGGGGGGGGGGGGGGGGGGG